CGATATTGAAAGTTTATTTACGAATGAAATTTCGATAAAATTGGTATGCTACTCTCGGATCCATTAAGCTTTTAGAACTTTCTGTATCTATTGCATTCATTTGTGGTATGAAAATGTAAGGAAGATTTGCTTTAAGAGCATTTACGTGAATTATGTTAGATTTGTGGAGGCCGTTGTTTCTTGAAGATCCTCATTTGGAGGATTATTTTCAAGGGCGTATACAGTTTCTGGGAATTTAGTTTCTGCAGAAACATCATAATTATTATATTCATCATTTTGAGAAGCATCGTGATAATTATATTCATCTGGCAGATAATTTTGATAGTCCTCATAGAAATCTTGGTTTATGTTTTCAAATGGGTTTTCAAACTATTCGTCAATATTTTGTGCGTATAGTTGGTTAGAGATAAATTTTGAAGTTGTTCCATACGAGAATTACTAGATGATGTATCCATAGGTTCGGGTTTGGTAATCGAGTTTTGATTATTTGGTCGAAAAATATGCCTCGTTTGTTGAGATCGATTTTGACGTTGTCCGAAAAATGGTTGACGTTGAAAATTACTGAACTGTGGTCTTGGGTAAAATTTTTGTGGCTGTTGTTGAGGAGTGAAAAAGGTATTATATTGATTAGGAGGTCGATGAAATGATTGTTGATTTTGAGGACTGAAAGGTATGTTATGTTGATATGATGGTCGATTCATATGAACGGGAGGGAATGATTGTTGTGTATAATTGTTAGAAAAAATTGTTTGAGGTCTGAATGAGTAATAGGTTTGATTTGGTTGGGTAGGTCTCAAAGGAGAGATTCTTTGTGTCGGTTTGAATGATGTCTGAGAATTCGAAGTATTTGATCGTTGAATTGAGTATTAGAAATTTTCTTCCTCGATCACAAGACTCATAGCTCTTTCCAGGCTGTCAGGGTTTCTTAGTCTTACGTTTGTTTGTAACTGTCCGGGAAGTCCATGTATAAATGTTCTCAGAGATAGATGATTATAATTTTCAAGCCAAACATTTTTCTCTTCTGCGGACATTACTAAAGTATTTAATTTCGAAATAATCAGATTTCTTGCGTCTTGGCAACGCATACCGAAATTTTATGGGCTCTCATTTCTTGATGGTCTCAAAGAAATAAGGTCTTGCAACAAACAATCAATATCACGTTGCTCGCCAAAACTTAGTAACAAAGCTTGCTTGATTTCTGTCCAACTTGTAAGTTCTGTTCGAGATCCTATTAAAGCAAGGGCTCTACCAGTGAGTTTGCCCGTAATATCTCCCAGCAGGAAATTATTCATCGCAATATCATTTTGAGTTACAAATGTATTGATGAGACTTCCACAGTTTCCAATGAAAATATTGAGGGTGTGAGGGTTACCATCATATGGAGGAATCGAATCTATGTACAGTCTCAATAATTGGTAATTTGTTTCTGGCATTTTAGTTGATTCTGAATCTATTTGAATAGTTTGTAATAATATGGTTAGTGATTCTAATTCAGAATCAGTCATAAAAATTCAAATGAGCAGTGATCATGAAAAATATCATTAAAGGTTTCAATACGGAAATGAATGGGAAAATTGAATAGCACTTTTTAGCGATTTTCTTCTGCCAGGACTTTCTGTTGGCTGCTCAGATTTTATTTTCCTTCCACACTGTTCACTTGTCTTAGTCCAGTCTTTTTGTTTCGTATCCCGATAAATCGTTGAAACGAAAAACTGCCCGTGCGATACGAACAATTTTCGGGATCCTACTGACTGCGCCAGTTACAAGTTACTTTCAGCAAGGAAGCTTCTTAAAAAACGAAAAATCTTTCACATGGTCTTTATTTACTTGCGAACAAGACGCACAACAGGCAAAGACTGAATTCAAATATATGAAATGCTACAGAATGAAAACTTTTTATGATAACAATTTCGTCGAAATGAGCTGGAAAGTGTCTGTAACTTCCACCCCGCTTCAATAATGACACGAGCTCACCCTATACTATTTTAGCTTCTCCCAAGTTGTCACACCCTGTGATGAGATCATCTACATATATAATAATATAATAATAATTCGTTTATTCAATACAAAAAGCTATACATATACAACTCGTATTTCATTGACACTATGATAAACGTGTGGGACAGACCAGATGTCCAAAGTACTTGTGTGGTTATCTAATCATTATGATATAGCATCATTCATCTCTAAAAGAAATACGTTCTTGATAATGAGAATGTGTGACCGGCCACCTTTCATAATATTAATCAAAATATATAAAGTTTTTTTATAGCATCATTCATATATAATATAAAACAATAATCTACGTGTATATAGAATAACTTAATTCGAGGAATATAATGACAACTAGAAGATAGTAAATATGGATAATTCCTGGAATCAAAAATATAACAAGATCAACAGACATAATAATGAAGGACTTGAGGAATTGATAGATAATAGTCATTTAACCATACAAAGTAAGAAAATATTATACATAATATAAGTAGGCGAAGTAAGGTGAGCATTATTTTCCATTTTTGTTATTACCAATTTTGGTTTTTAGTTGTTGTTGATGATTTCGTGAAATGCCATTCTGGGTGTTTAATCGAGCCATTTTATGATTTGTTTTTTGAATTTGAGTTTGATGTTCTAGTTCTTTATTTCAAGCGGAAGAAGATCAAACAATTTTAGTGCTAAGTAAGTATGATTCCTCAAACCAATTGTCTTTCTGACATTGGGTTTGTGTGTCACTGAGTTTCTATTTCTTGTGTTATGGGGATGTTGTTTATGACGGATTATGTGTTGATTTCTGAAGAGGTACATCAATAGTGTTTGGCCGTATATTTGTCCTCAAGGCCAAGATACCTAATTCTCGATATAGGCTACCTGTTGGATGAGTGCGTTACTTGTTGAATATAATTTTTAAAATCCATTTTTGTACAACTTCAACATTGTTCACATTAGTATTGGTAGCACTACCCCGTCCTATTATACCTCCGCATCAATTCCAATGACCGTTTTTCCAGAATTATCGCGATTATTCAGAGTATCATAATCAAGTAAATGTGTTTGATAACATGTGAAAGGTAGATTTTTGGTTTTGTCAGAATTCACTGTTAGTACATTCATGTCAAACCAATGCTTTATTATCAGAAAATCATCTTCGACTATATTCTTCAACTGTTGTCAAGTATCTGCACTATAGATTACCACTGTATCATCTGCAAAACTGAGCATCTTACCCTTGTGCTAATATCAAGCAGGTCATTTATGTAAATGTTGAATAGAACCGGACCAAGTACTGTGCCTTGAGGTACACCGTGTGCAATCATCATCATCTCACTCTTAATGTTATCAATCTGAACGTATTGTTGTCGATCTGGTCTAGTGGTTTTCCCCGAAAACCAATATTTTCTAATTTCTTCAACAGCCTTGAATGGTCAACCGTATCAAAAGCCTTGCCCAAATCAACAAAGATAGCCAAGGTTTTCTTATTGCAATCAAGATTTTCTCAAATCACATTTTTTGCTTGAGCTATAGCATTTTCTGTATTCTTACCTGATTGGAATCCGAATTGTCTCTCTGAGATAATATTATGTTTTTGTAGAAAACTGTCTATTCGAAGTTTGATGATTTTCTCTAGTACTTTCGCTACTGTTGAAATCAAAGAAATTGGCCTATAGCTTATGACACTCGTTTTGTCTTCCCCTTTGTATGAGGGTTTGATTTTACCCAATTTAAATCGGTTTGGAAATTGCCCATTCAGAAAAACTATATTAACAAGGTGAGTCAAAGGACCACACAGTGTCACAATTCATTTTTGATATCTGAAGAGATTTCATCGTCTCCTGGAGATTTTCCAGATTTCAAGCTTTTTATGATTCCTGTTATTTCAATTGGGTTTGTTGGGAATAAATAAATACTTTCATTTAATCTGGTACGATTTTCAACATAATTTTCAGGAATGGTGATTTTATCCGCATATTTCCTTCCTAAGTTCACATAGTGTTCATGAAAAATATAAGCCATTCCATTTTTATCATTTGTGAGCACTCTATCGCTAGTTCTTATTTCCTTGATGATGTTTTTTTCTTTTTTATTTTCATTACAGATTTTTTTACTGCGCTTCACAAGCTCTTCGAAGTACACGATTTCTTTCAATTCCTTTGTTGCAATAATCAATTTTCGCGTTCTTCATCAATAAATTCAATTTGTTTCCATAAGTTTTGTAATTCCTTTGAATAATTTCGTAATTAGGGTGCAGTTTTGCTTCTTTGACTAGTTCATTTTTTTTATTTACTGATACAAGAAGGGCTTTGGTTATCCAGCTTTTTTTGTCATTCTCCCTAATTTGTGTTAGTTTGGTATTTTTTTCTATACTTGTTTCACGCACATATCTTTGGAACTATTTAAGATACGAGAATACAATTTGAGAGGCGTTTTGTAGGAAATCTAATTCTCTACAAAAAAGGTTATTTGACATTTTTTCTCATTTTGACTAGTTTCTGAGATATACCGAAAATAGAGAATTTCCTTTCCATTGCCGACACATCGTTGGAGACGTATTAATTAATATTTCCCTAAAACCATGTTTTTTTTATTCTTACAATTTGAGAAACGTCGAATATTGTAATTTTCACCGAAAAAAACCTGATTGGCATGAAAAAAAATTATGTAAATTTTTCGAAAAAAAATTGAAATTATTGAACTTTCACTATCTCGATAGATAAGAAACATTTTGAATATATGTTGAATCACTAATGTTCATTTCATCATATCAAAAATTTTCCAAGAAAGAGAATATACGAAATAAATAAAAAATATCTCAAAAAACATGATAATCTCAACTCATAATTATTTTTATTATTTCAAATAAATCTTGCGCAACTAAGGAAATTGTTGAATAATAACGATTTCGTGATTAATTTCTCTGAATTCTTATTTGAATAACTTATGATAGTAAATATAAAACAAAAACTGAGTAGATAGTATAAAAAGTAAGGTAAAATTTTTTTTCATCAATCCTCTTGCCAGTCGGAATCACCCTCCTCATCGTCTGCCGAATCAAGATCACTCAATGCACGGGAGTCCATATCTATAAAATTGAAAACAAATGGATTAGAAAAATGTAATATATGTTTGTGTTCATATTTACTGTATTATCTATATACCTGAATCATTGTCACCCTTTTCATCTTTGCTGTTTTCACTGGAGGAATCAGTGAGTACATCACTAATATATTGGGGCATTTGATCTCCTTCAAACCACAAGAATTCGTATTTATTATCATTGATGATCAAGCCGTAATTTTCTGGCAACTTTTCCGTCGGCTGTTGCAAATGGGCATTGAGCCAAATACTGGCAATGTACGAGCTTCGTAGTATTTGTTGTCTTAATTCTGATGAACATGGTGGTAAGTTAGAGGCATCACAATTCCGGATATTCTTAACAAATGATTCTTGACTATCATTGGTCTTGTAAGCTTCATGGAATAATTCCAACCGCGCTTGGTTAACTTTGTCTACATGTTTGACACCATACATGCGGCAGATAAATTCTTCTATTATAGAAAATACTGTGGACGTATCAACGTTTTCTTCGCCTAGATCTGCAAATGCCTTCTGATAGTCTTCGAACGCCTTTAACAATTTCAGAGGCTTGTTTTTTCCTTTACGGAAAAATGAAGGATTATAGTCGCACCCCGTAAGGGCGTGAAAGCCAGGCAGAGCTTTTGACAATGTACTTCCCAATTTTTTGTACAATTTCGTCACGTCTATGTGTCTTTGATGATTCCCTACACCTACCTCGATCCATATTCTGTGTGACTGATTGAAATGGATCATATTGCCCAATAAACTAGGGCTTCCTTGAAATTGGCATTCTGCAACTCCTTCATAAAATCATTAGGCCGAGCTTGTTCTGGTCCTGTGATTGCATAAGTATTTGAATGTGCTTGGCGTAAGTCGTGTTCATAATCTTTAATGGACGGGTGAGAATATCGATCGAAAAGCACGTCGATTCGATGACCTTTGTATTTTGTTATGATCTGCATTATTTTCTTGGCAATGTTTCCAAATAATTTAGGTACATCTTTCATCATGTGCAGAATAAAAAAACCGTCTAATAAAACGACATCGACATACGGCGGTCCTTCACTTTCTACTTCTGCTTCCAGCAAGTTCATCAATGATGATTTATTAGTCTTGCATATGGTGCCATCGAAGTGGCAAAGTGACATCGGGAGTGGTGTCAAAGGATATGAGAGAGCTTTAGCCAAATCAACTTCATAATCAGGATTCATTGCGAGCGCTAATAAACGGCCAAAAGTGTCTCGTTGCATTCTTACTTCTTGTACCTTATTACCAACTTTCACTTTCTTTTTTGTAGCAATGGATGCAAAATTGAAAATCTTCCGTTTTTTAATTGGTTTGTCAAAACGATCGGTCTTTTCGGAACACTCAGCTATAAAATTTTCACGTAGCTCTTTTCCGTCTTTTAATATGTTGAGTAAAAAGTTTGTTACGTTGTCTGGTGCCGCTTTTCCTGTTTTGATGTTATATAAACAGTCTTTATCCAGTTGTGTGCTGAATGGATTTAAATTAGACTTCATTGCTTCCAAAAATTTTTCGCGCTGCATTATGCTGGTCTTAATTTTATTTTGTTCTAATTCAGCCGTCACATCCTGCTTTTTATGTAAGCCAGCATTGTCGAAAACATGCGATATTATAGATGATCGAATCCCATGTATGTATGTGTGTGGGCGGTCCGGGACCTGACGCACTTAGGCCTCCCTTTTCGGGCCCATTGTGCATCCACATTCCTGGGATCGCAAGTCAGCCATGGAGAAGGCCGATCTCGCGAGCAAAAGAGACCAACTTCCTAGGCCAAATCTTCTCAACATCCTCTGGGTCCAGGATACTGCTCCCAAAATGGATATCCCTCGCTGCCACTATTGCCGGGCATTCAGTGAAGATGTGAGTAGAAGTCTCTTCATCCTCTAGGCACCATCTGCATTCAGGATCCTCCACAATCCCGATCATGCTGAGATGTTTGTTCAGGTGGCAGTGCCCTGTCAGATGCCCACCACCAGTTTTAGCTCCTTCCTGTTCAAAGCCAAGAGGGCATTTCTCTGTCTTCGTGACGGGTTTCCTATATGGAGTTTGGACTGCCTCATTCGAGGAGCCTTTCTCCAGCTGTCCTGAAACTTTTTCGTCAGGATTTCCTTCATCTTGAAGTTGCTCCAGGATCGAGTGACCCCTAAGATTGGCTCTGGGCCAATCACTGAACCCTTCGCCCCCTTTCTGGCCAGACTATCGGCCATTCCGTTACCTGGTACCCCTGAGTGTCCAGGGACCCACAAAAGACATACTTTGTTCGTTGCTGACAGCCTTTGTAGGCTATCTATGCACTCTGACACGAAGGCGGAGGTCACCCTATACGAGGTGACCGCCTTGATCGCCGCCTGGCTGTCAGTGCATATAGTGATTTGCTGGTTGTGATAGCCCCTCTCGATATTCTCTCGAACACATGCAAGTATTGCAAATACTTCAGCCTGAAAAATGGTGGCATGTTCCCAAGGGTATAGCAGTGATTTGCCCTTGAGGACTGCCCATAGACCCCAGCACCAGCGCATTCTTCCATCCTGGAGCCATCTGTATACCAGATGATGCCCTCGGTGGGTATTATGCAGTGCCCATTCTGTTCCTAGTCTATCCTACTAGGAATCTTGACTTGGGGCATTTTCCTGAATCGAATGATCGGTGTTATGCTGTCCCCTTTCATACTGAGTGAGGGGTAGTCGTCTGTAATTTGCTTCCAGAGGCGAGAATGTCCGTATGTTCCTTCGCTCCTCCACTGGTTACAGCTTTGTAAGCGAACGGCGGCCTTCATCGCCTCATGTTCTATATACAGGTTCAGAGGCGGCAGTCCGGTCAGAGTCTCCAACGCCCTTGTCGGCGCTGTCCTCATTTCTCCTGTTATGGATATGCAGGCCAGTCGTTGAACTCTGTCGAGCTGACTCCTCGACTTGCCTGTCAGCGTCCCCGGCCACCATACGATGGCCCCATATGTTATCATTGGACGTATGAGAGCGGGATTGATGCGTATATCTCAAAGTGCTCGCTTGAGGGCATTGTATGAGAATTTCTGCGTGGGATATCTTCAGGACCTCGCTGAGCTCAGCCTAGGTTGCGGACATTTGTAGGAAATATAGCGCTCTCGGCGATCTCTCAAAGAAGTAACAAAAAGCATCACAATTTCCTGGGAAGATATCTTCAAGATAGCTTCAGGACATCTTCGTGCTGCCTGGGACATATACAGTGTGTCCATTTAGTGCGTAATTCTTCGATATCTCGAAAGCCATTACCTATAGAGAAAAACTTTGGAAAAAAAACTTTTTCAGTTACTAGAGTTGCTTATTTCAAAAATATTTTCAACATTACTTGGTGTTTTATAAAAGCGGGGCAACTCGAAGAAGAGTTTTTTCAAATGGAACACCCAGTATTGTTCATTCGGAATGAATTCCGCCGGAGTTCACCTTGAAAGAAAAAATTGAAATCGGTTGCGGCGTTGCCAAGTTATGATTAATATATCAATTTTTACCATTATTGAAGAGTCATGTTGAATTGGGCATGGTATATTCATTTGTTCAAATTTAGAAAACATTTTTGGCAGTCATTAGGAGCAAGGTCCCACGTATACCAATCCAGTAATTTCGCGACATATCCTTTAACAGGGTGCTCAATTTTGCGTTTAGAATTTTGCAAGATTCAGATGACATTCATCAGAATATTTCAAATGGAACACCCTGTATTTCGATTCAGAAATTCATTCCCACATCTTCCGCCTTTTTATAGCTGAAAAAAAAAATCGAAATCGGAGGCGGCGTTGTCAAGTTATGGATAATTTCCTCATTTTTACTATTATTTCGGGGTTATTTGTACGTCATAGTTCCACAATAGGAACACTTACAGGCTCTCCAAATTTGAATTTTTTTCGAAATACACTCATATTTGTGTAATGACCTATCAAACATTGCCACAATCAAAATATCTTGGATCACCTCCCAAACGCCGCGTAGTAGAGACATATTGTTTGTATCATTATGTTTACCTCCTTCAAGTTAATTGCAGATTTCGATTGTGGAAATAACGACAATAAAAATGGCCGAAATTTCAAAAAATTGTCGTAATTTTCGCAATCCGCATCTTCATTGTTTGTATTGCAGAAGTTGTTTCAAAGACAGGCGTTGCTTTTGGCATGTTTGTTCGTTTCACATATTATTTAAATCATAAGTAACAAGAAAACGAAATATTTCAAATTTGAACGATGCACATATCGTAAAAACACCTGAATGATTTATGTAGAACCTCGAATGTCATGTGGCAAGCAATATTCTCACACTCAAATCAAATGAAGGAACCATCATGACGTACAAATTACCCCAAAATAGTAGTAAAAATAAGGAAATTACTCATAACTTCAAAACGCCGCAACCGATTTTGATTTTTTCTTCAGCGATAAAAAGGCGAATGATGTCGAAATAAATCTGTGATGAAAAATACAGGGTGTTCCATTTGAAAAATTCTAATGATTGTCGTCTGAATCTTACAATATTCAGAATGTAAATTTTTGCACCCTATAAAGGATTATCTCACAAGATTACTGGATTGGTGTACGTGAGGCCTTGCTACTACTGTATGCCAAAAATGTTCTCGAAATTTCAATAAATGAATATACCATACCTAATTGAACATGACCCTTCAATAGTAGTAAAAATGGGTTTATCAATTATAACTTGGCAGCGCCGCAACCAAATTGAATTTTTTTTACAGCAATGTAGAACTAAACCTTAGCGGAATAAATTCCGAATGAACAATACTGGGTGTTCCATTTAAAAAAACTCTTCTTCGAGTTGTCCCGCTTTTATAAAACACCCAGTATTGTTGGAAATATTTTTGAAATGAGCAACTTTAGTAACTGAGCAAGTTTCTTCCCCAAAGTTTTCCTCTTGTGATAATTGATTTCGAGATATCGAAGAATTACGTATATGAATCTGAATGCCAGGAAAATAAAACAAGACTGTATTCATTAGATAACATAAAATGCAAATCGATTTGTGTGCAGAAAAATCTGTCAACATTTGTATGTTCATACCACTACTAAATACTTTACAATAAAACAATTGTTGAAAATTGAGATTTCATTGAACTAAAAATCTACAAAAAAAAATCACAGTGATTGATTCTCATTAAAACTCGGAAGATTAATCACATACATTCTCCTTCAGTCACTACCTTCTTCCATCTCATCGTTTAGGTCTTCAATCTCATTAATCACTTCATCAGTCTCTTGTATTCTTTACACAGCCTCATCATCTTCAGTTCTTTCAATATCCTCACTGATGTCAATTTGGTCTCCATTTGTTCCATCTTCTTTAACTCTCATATAGGTCAAGTGTTTGGGTCTTTTTTTACCACTAGAAGCTCTTCTTTTTGATGTACTATCTGATAATAGTTCAGCACGTCTTTTAGCATTCCTGATGACACCTTTGAAGAAATTTTCACAATCTGTTTCTGCGAATTGAGAATCAGCTTTGCTGATTATTTAATGAAATGTCTTCATTACATTTTTATATATTTTGAATGCATTCTTGCCTTCATCTCTTCTACTGCCTCCACTCCATGAGAACTGCATTAAAAATTTTCTTTCAAAAAAACAGTCAACCAAATGGTAACTACAGCTCAGACCATTCATCTTTCCATTTGTTCCACAGATATGAGATTGGCTCATGACCTGAAAAAGTAAAATTATCAGATTAACCTACAGACACTATTATTTAGACATAAGATATGAATCATATATTTTCATATATATCATGAGATTTCATATCAGAACTAGTTCACTGTTGGTCAGTGTAGGATTTGATATCAGCATGTATCATCAGTATGGAAAAAATAAACATTTCACTTAAAATTCTGTCCTAGAGATTTTCTTTCACATATTGATTCACAATTCCAGCAACAGTTTTTTGTATTCAGTAGCAGATTCTATTTCCGCGATATATCATCCTATATTGCTTGTTGAATCAAAAATATGTAAGAAGCTGGCATACAACTATTCACAAAATGACATTATTTCTATCAAGTTATTATTTTTATTCAGATTCAGATATAGAGGATATTTACAATGTATAGTACCTAGTACAGTAGTTTAGTAGTTGTCAATAAGGTTCTGAGATACATTCTCAACAGTCCTGTGCCATCTAAGCTGAGCTTGTGGTATGGTGCAGACTGTTTATATTTGTTTCAATGTGTCCATATCATAAAACCCTATTGACGAATGAGAATAAATGTATTTAAATGAATATTACATTGGTGAGCCTGGCATTGCCTACCTACCTCGATGATAAAATGAAATAAAATAGTTTGAGAGAGAAAGAGAGAGAGAGAGCGAGAGGAAAAGAGAGGAATATGGAGATTTTTTCCAATCATTCAAAAATAGTTTTCAACTGTTCGTAGTGGTTTTCAACGAAAATTCTCATTTCTGTTTTCAATTTTTTATGGGTCTTGATATTCTTTATATAAAAAGGTAATTGATTGTACAATTTTGGACCGAAGTATGTAACAAATTTTTGAT